CATCTAATTTTATGTGGCTAAAAAACCCAAAGAACAACGTTTACTCCTGTTTCTCCCAGGCCATCATCAGTAACAGTTCACTCAATTTCATTTACAGGATCAATGACTACAAAAATTGACAATTTAGATTGTCAAATTTAAGCAATAATTATAGAGAAGAACTTAATACTTCAAACATTCAATATGAAAAGAGACGATCACATTTGCCATTTTATTACCTACAAAAGTTCTAGCCTAATCTAGTTTTGCAGCATACATTAGTCTTACCTTGAAAAGAAATATAATCAAACATTGAAAAACTAATCTTATTATATTTGGAGCCACACTGAATTATAAGATCCCCATATTTTTCTGTAATTTGCTATTGATCCACTGAAACACTGTAAATCACCTTCAGCAGTGATTAATGTAAAAACTGTTCTTCATTACCATCATAAATGAGAATCTAACACCAGTCACTCATTTGCATTTTAACAAAGTTATATAAATATTAAAGACTGATTTTCATTTCCCTCTGCCCTTTTCTCCAAAATCTGTCACTGTCATTTTCCCAGGAACAGCACATCCCAGGAATATTTCAACCATCCTGCTGGGGCACATCTCTGCCTCACTGACAAGTTTATGTGCAGATCAATGTTAAGGATTCTTCTCCTAAGCAACATTACAAGTTTGATTTTTTTGGAAAGTAAAAATACTCTTCTAAAATGGAGAAAATCTCAAAATCTGTTCCTTTTATAGCTAAACATCAATTAGGTATTAAAACCTAGAATTTTTTTTCCCCCACAGATATTTTTATTAGCATTTAGCTCCATTTAAGGACCATTATCTGCAATAAAATTATTATTAATAAATTAATATTATTATTTAAACAATTAAAAATTATATTGGGAAAAGTATTTATTCAATGTCACTTGGCACAGACAGGAACCTTGGCTACACCTGATTACTGAAACAATGACACATGATAATAACTAATACAGAGTTTCCTTTTCCTCTTCTACATGATAAAAATCTAGATTTTTCTATGCATTTACACACTAAAGTAATTTAAATATTGTGCCAGTTAAATCCTAATTAATATTAATTCTTAACTGACATTGGTAATAAGAAATACAACATTAAAAAGAAATTAGCATTAGTTTCCTAATTAAAACCCATTTCCAAGACATACCTTCTATATTTAGAACTCTGCCTTTCTCTAGAGACAGCAAGAACACTCACTGTGCTATTTGCTTGTGCCTAGAAAATATCCTAAGATTTCACATTTTCAAGTGTCAGTCTGATTTGAAACCTTGGATCTTTGGAGTAAATTCTGGATTTGGCACTCTACAAAGACTGTTATCTTCCCTTTTTAATGGATAACCAAGCAATTTGTCATCAAAGTTAAAAAAATTCTCCCAGGAAAGGAAGTTCCAGCCTGTCAGTGCAGGTTGCTATGGCAACAGCCACCATGACCACGCAGGCTCCAACCTTATTTAATGGGTAAAGTGGAAGAAACAGCACAAGATATTATAATGAAAAACCCTGGGCTGTGAGTATTCCTGGGAAAAAATTAAATAAAACAAAGGACTACACTCCTCTACCCCATTTTTTGTCGTCAGCTCATACCTCAGAGGGCAAAAAAACACCTCCACTTTACCACAAAACCTTATGTTAGAGAAATGGTGCAGCTCTGCTTCTCTTGGGACTTGACAGGTAAAACTCTCTGAAAATGAGCTTTTTTTATCTAGGGATAAGGGGTGTGATCTGTGTGGAGCAGCAGCAGCAAATGGAACAGGACTATAAAATACAGCAAGGAAAAAGATGGATTCTACCACAACAGTCTAAAAATAGATTCCCTGCTAACAGAGGATGGTTGAGGATCTTCAGAACTAACAGCTCCATCTAGAGTTAAAAACCAAGGGATACCAAAGCAAGCTGACAGGTAAAAGGTTCTCAAGGCTCCTGAAAAACACCCTCTAAAACATTCTCCAAGATCTCCCAATTTAAAATTTTCCCTTAAAATACTTTACATAAAAGTCACCTGATCCTTGAGAACCTAAAAGGTTTTCATTAAAACCAAACTGAATGCAAAATTGAAAGGAAAATAACTAAAACTACTCATCTATCCCTTGGGTTTCCTGCAGCTCAGTGACATTCCCACCGCAATCTGAGGCTTGGTGAGGTTGGTACCTTTTGCCAATTTTCAGTGGGATCAAGGTTTTAGCACCCCAGAATATCAAGGAATCAGCCTTCCAGCACTTCCAAAGAAATTCATACCCATGTTCAACACTGAATTAATGCTCCAAACAGGCATCCAGCCTCCTGCACACACAGCACTTCCCAGGCCCCAGTTGCTCACACTTATTTAAAATTTAACACTGACTTGGGCAGAGCCAGGAGGCCCCTGCTCAGCTGTTTGCTCCAGAGCCAACTTATTTTACATGGCACCTCTCAAAGGAACTCAGCACAACCATTTTAGATCTTCCCATTCTCTTGTTCCTCCTAAGTTACATCTTACCTTCCAACCTGCACAAAAAAATAAATTATATACAGCCATTGCTAATTGATGTCAAGCCTGCACTGGATTCAATGTGGCTGTGCCTCCCAATATAATTATTGATATAAAAACAGAATAAAAAGGGGCAGAAAATGGGGAATGGGGAGCCGCTGGAAAACCATTGGGTTAGAGGCCTGCTGCATTCCTGATCAAGAACAAAGGCAGGCTTTGTTAACAACTCCATGCTTCTGGTAACACTGGAGAGCCTCATGAGCTTTTTCCCACATTTTTTACACTTTACCTACCTTTATCATCCTCTCAATCCTTGATTCCTCTCTTTCTCCCTCATATTGCTTTGCCTATTTACCTGTAGGACACCTGCACTTTCCAATGGCATCCCTACTCTTTTTCGTCCGTGTTCTTGATTCTGTTTAGCATCACAAGATGATAAATATTGTTTAGGACTGACCAAAACCCTTTACTGCTTCCCCCTAAAGTACATTAACATTAAAAACCCAGAACAACAACTGACAGATTTTATTACCATCACCATGTGATTTTTAAGCTGTTCTGTGCTTCGTGTTTAATTGAAAAGCTGGGGCAAGGGTGAAAATATTGGTCGAAATGACACTGCCCAGACCTCCAGGGTAACAAAGCATCTCCAGGAAGCTTTCTTGAAATATCTGACTATTGACTCATGCACTTCCTCCTCTGCAAAGTGTTCAGTTTCCTCAAGCGTGCAGGAGCTACAAATTTTTAACAAGTGTCACCACAGTGTCTTTAAGTCCTGAAAAGCTGAAACACCAACCAGAACATGCAGAGGCAGCTAGTGATGGAATTTTTTCCTGGTGATTTATCACATTTGGAATACATATACACATTTATGGTTGTAGGTTTGTATCAATTTCCCACAGCAGCAGCAAGCCTCATTTTGTTGTTCTGTTTCTTTGATATAGCATTTTAAGTAACATTTACATCTGAGAACACAATACTATGAATTCATACCATTATTAAAAAATGCTGAAAAAACCTTTTCAGAACCTCAAAACCATTTTGATCTGTTTTTCTCTAGTCCTTGCAGAGAGAAATAAGGGTCTTTCAAAGGAGCAGTTCACACACAAGAGGCCCCTTTATCCATGCCACTTCACCGAGTTAATGACAAAAACTCACTGACTTCTCCATAAATTGGAAAGCACAAAGAGCACAAGAAAAAGTCTTCCCATTTCACAATTTTACTCCAGGATCCCAAATTTAATAATCCATGCATCAAAAACCACGCTTTGACTTCAGCATTGCCACATTATTCCCACATCAGAGGAACAACATTGATTTCCAAAGTGAAAAAAAGAAGCAGCAACTGAAAACAACTCTTTATTTCCTCTGGATCTGTGTTTTTAAATGAAAAAGTAGGACAATAAATAGAAAACAAACTCTGGTTTCTCACACAGTCAGTTGTGTTCCAAGTTAAATAAAAATGTGGCACCAACACAGAAATTCACAAAACATGAAGAGATCTGGATATTAACAGAACTCTTTCAAAAAGGAAGCATAAACTTGATACAAGAGAAAACCTGATCTTTCTCTGGCTTTGTAAATGTTTTTCAGCCCAAGATACACAACCTCACATTTAGCACAAAACCAAGGAAAGTGACTGGAAATCATATAAATCTGCTGACTAGAATGTGCAACATTTTTCTGTGCACAAAGCCAACTTCTCTTTATCCAAGTTCAGTTTTGAAGCAACTCCTGTATGGGAAAGTGTTGGCAGAACGTGCACTGCTAATTTCCCATCTAGAAAGGGAAAATTCTGCCCTCACTCATTCTTTGTTGAGACAACAAACCCCTGAAGGATTTTTTTCAAGTTCCCAACAATCTTCCTGTATACACTTGCAAAAAATGATAGTTGGAAGCAACTCAATTGGACTTTGTGCTTTTCCAGGCATCATTTCCTCAGTGATAGCTTTAAGCTCCTGGAAATTGGCAATTTCATAATGAAAATTATTACCTATTCTTTAAGACACCAAAATATCTCAAAACTTATTTCCAAATGGCAGAGACTGTGGGTCTTCACCAAAATGTGTATTTATATATTAGGGGTTTTTTTAAAATCAGAAAAAAATCATATTTAAACTCAGTTTCGTTAAAACTGCTTTTTTAAACACAGAATGAGAAAACATTTCAAGAAGTTCTTCAATCTTCCTTTAACAAGAGAAATTTCGATGAATTAAAAAGCAGATCTCTAGTCAAATGAATAAAGGCTCTCTTTTCATGTCACAAGAAATGAGGATGTTAAGGAAATACATCAACAAACTCTGTGACACTAGAAATGAAAACACAGTATTTTTCAAGCTTAAAGACTTGTTCACAGCTTAAAGAATGCCTCTCCTTACCTCCAAAACTGAATGAGAACACTGTTACATTACTGACATATGGATCTACTTGTCACTTCATATTAAAAACACTTTCGTAAATGACTTTAATGAGTGCAAGAAAAAAAAAAACTGAACACAGAAATACTTACATTTCATTCACTTTCTCTTCTGGGCCCTGAACTTGGCCTGTCACGGTTCCTTGGCTGGTATTCTTAACCCAGCCAACCACTCCTAATTTCTTGGCTTCCTGCTCTGTGTACTGATTTGGGAAATAATGAGAGAGGACAATCAGTGCCAGCTCAGACACCACGGAGAGAACACTTAACCCCCACTTGCATTTGCCCAGCTGAAAGAGCTAGACTTAAAAAATTAAAATCCATGAATGATGCTCATCCTCAGGCATTCAGATGTTCCTGGCAGCTCTGGAGTTGCAGCAGGCACAGCTCATTTTCCAAAAAGAACAAGATTTTGATCACAAAGGACTCCACTAATCCCACACCATTCCCTTGTACTTGTTTTATTCCTTTCCATAGCTCCTATCACTTCTCATTTGACCCTTCGATCACCACAGTTTTCAAACTCATTAAATCTGCTACATGGACAAACATCCCAGTTCCCTTTCAAATGCTTTCCACCTGACTTTCACCCTTTCAATTCCACCCTGCAGCTGCTGCATTTCTACTGACAAACAGCAAAAGTCAATCTAATTACTAGAAAAAAAAAAGGATATTTCTGTAATACAAAAAAAATGACAGTTTCCCAGGCACCCAGTTGTGATGAAATTCACAAACAGCAAGAGCCAAACTGTCAGGTCTGTATGACCCATTCCAAAAGACAAAATGTGCTGTGGGGTAAATTATCAAATTAAAAAGTGGTGCTAACTATGAAGAGTGTTTTCCAAGGTGATTATGAGCAGCTTCTCCAAACTAATTTGCCCAAAAGAACAGGAATGCAGCTGCAAACCTTTTCCTCAGTACTGCAGAGCAGCTCAGGACTGGCACTGAGCTGCGTGTTCACATGGCTCTGGGTCAGCTCAGAACAAGGCACAGCATGCTTGGACTTACCCTTTCTTCTTCAAAGAATAATTAAATTCAAGGCAAACTCCACTGCAGTCCTCTGTTCATTTCCACTTGGCACTGTTTTACAATACATATAAACTACAGATAAAATCTCTCAGGTTTAATATTAAAGCATGGGACACTAGTTTGAGACAAAAACACTGTTCTTCCTTCAATTGTGTCCTCTTGTTTCATAGGTTTCTGTGAAATGCAAAACCACCTGCTGCACTTCAGAGCTGCTGGAGTCACTTGCTTAGGGTACGAGACACAAAGTGCTTATTTGCAGGACGTTTTTTCCCAAATTTTTCCTCAGTAACCTTCCTTAAATACAGGTACTGAGTTGCCATTTGAAAAATTAAACTGAAACACCTTGTTTCAGATTTAACCTTTCTAAAGGTCAAGGTGTTACAACATTCTTGTGGTTGTTACATCACAAGTAATCCAAACCACAATCTACCCAAGCAACACTTCACTAAGTTTCTAAAAATCAATTTTAACATAAAATTTCAAGTCTACTCACAGTACTTAACCATCCAACCAAAGTTCAGGCTGGATATGTTTACACTCTACAGCTGCCTTATTTTTAGCACTGGAAATATTATACCATAGAGTAGCCAGCCAATCCAGCATTTCCTTACCATCCTGAAGCAAACGCCTAAAAAAATTAAAAAAAATAAAATTAGAGTCCTGTGAAAGCATACCACTTGTAGGAACTTCAGTTAATATAAAGAAGCAATGACGTGCCTACAAATCACCCGTATTGTTTTACCCTGGAGATTTCAATGACGTTAATATTAAGGAAACCGAACAGAACTTGCGTTTGAGCCTTCCCTTCGTCACACGATTATTGTCATTCACGTATTTAAATGATAATGAAAACGCTGCAATGTGTCAATGGGAAGGACGGGAGGAGCATTTCCACATACTCGGGCTGACAGAAGCCACTAGAGCAAGTGCGCGGAATGGGAGCTAGGAGCCGAGCCTTAAGGCGAGAGAATATTTACAACGATTTAAAAGTAAAAAAAAAATAAAGAAAAACCCACCAAAATTAAAAAAACTTTCCCGTCCCGTTGGGAATGCGCCCGCGGCTCCCGCCTCCCCTCAGGCCGCTCCCGCCCCGCGCACGCGCGCTGCTGCCGCCGCCTCAGAGCGGCGCCCCTCGCCCGCCAGCTCCCCTCAGCCCGCCATTACCTTGCACCCGCCCGAACACTTCGTAATCCACGGACTTGAGTGCGCCGGAGGCTTTGGCCAGGGCGGACATGGCAACACCGGAGGAAGAGCCGCTGTAGCGGCCGCCGGTGCTCCGCGTACCAGCGGCGCCCAGACGGGAGCGCGAGAGGCTCAAGCTTACCTCGTAAGCGGCCGCTTCACGTGTGGATGGGGCGGGCCACGGCGCCCGAACACAGCCTTAAGCGTGAGGGGAGAACACACTCGACAGCAGCGGGCAGAAACGTTGCTCCTCCTGTGAAGGGAAGCACACCTAACAGTGAGGGGTGACACAGCTCTTCCTGTAAGGGAAAACATCTCTTCTTTCCGAGAGCGGGAGAGCGTTCCTGCCGTGAGGGGAGACAATCCAGCCCCAAGGGCGGGAAACGCCTCATGATCCCGAGGGCGGGAAAACGTGGACCCACATCCCTGAGGGGCGGTCCTACAGATCCCTCACAAGGTGTCATTCCCTTCTCTATTTCAGATTAGAAATATGTTCAGAGACTAGTGTCCGTACAGCACCTCTCCAGGACTGGTGCTGTCACATACACACCTGGAGTCTCCAGCATCTGTGGGACAGGTGAGCAGCATTAGTCTTTCCCAGGCATTTACAGAAATAATTGAAAACAAAGTGTGTTCCATACATTGCTGAACTGAGAAAATTTTGTCTGATAAGATGGAAAATTAGGTAGTTGAAAACTGAAGCACAAGAAAAAACCCTGGAATTTATCTTGGGCATCCCACCCTGAATGAGGCTGAGTGATCATCTTCAAACTCCACATGACTTAAAAAACTTTCCCCAGTTTTAACAGCCTATTTCTCCCCCCTGTGCTGGGGCAAATGCCAGACTCCTCAGCTGCAACAGCAGACCCCAGTGAAAGAAAGTTCATTGTATACACACTGTTCACCCAGCTTTCAGTGGTATCTAGTAGTGCTTATGTTCTCATTGGAAAACTGTCTATAACATTTTCCAAAATTGTCATTGTGACATTCCTTTCCAAAACTGTCATCATGACATTCCTTTTGTCTATGTACTACATATACAAAAACAAGTCAACAATTGATTATTTAGTATGTTGAGTCTCCAAGAACACACCACAAAGGTTTTTCTCTGGTGTGTTCTATGTCATCTTGAAGTTTAACTTCCCCCCAACCATGTCTGTGGTAGTTTGTTGGGTTTTTTTAACCAACTTTTCGGGCAGAATTCTACATTAGGAACAGCATTTATTCTACCTTAGAAGGTGAACTCTGAGTGTTCTCACTCACCAACAGTAAATCAACAGCAACTTTACGATAAAGATCAAAATAATTTTATTTGCTCTCTCCACTTAGCAATTTCCATCCACATGCACTTTGTGTTCTACAGTAATGCAGCATAACCTGAGTTGTTCACAGGTTTGGATCTTAAGACTAGAGTGAGGTTCAAAATAAAGGCCTAGAAAAAGATAAAAATTACTTTTCCAAGGCACACAACTAGAGAAATAACCACTCAATCCAGCACAGAACACAAATATTCACATAGAAACAAAAAGCTTCCAGTATGACAGGGAATATGAACATAATGGACAAAACTTCATTTGCTTTACCTATATAGTATGTTAAATCAAATCTTTACCTTTCACAGAGATCATACATTTTTCTAATGTGAAATCAGCACCATTTTGTTTAGAAAGAGAAGAACACAGAAAGAGAAGCAGAACACAGAAAATCTTTGGTAATTTGCTGCCATCTGGCAGCAGTGAAGAGCAAGACCAGTAAAAAAAAGTTACTTATAGTAGCAGTTTATTGCACTAGAAAGCCACACAAGCCTTAAAAGCAGAGCTTCTGCTGGTACTGATGACACTTTGCTACCTCCAGATTCCAGCACTGGCAACAACATTTTTGTATTGCTACAGTCTTTAACATTTCATTTGTTATAACATCTTACCCATCATTCCTTAGACAAGTCCAACTTTCTCCTGATTTCCTGAGAAGTAGCAGAAAACTCCAGAAGATGATACTGTGAAACATTTAATGTTTTGCTGCATAAGTTGTCAATATTAAAAAACAAAGGTTATTTGAACACACTAATTAGCAAGAGAGCTTTAGCACATGCTACTAAGAAATGCAGGCAGCCTGCATGGAGTTCTGAATTTCCCTCCCACTTCCAGCTGTTTATTCCAGGGTAGTGGCATCAGCCTAAATTGAACCAGTTGGCTGCACTTCCCAAAGTTACAGCCAGTTGTGAAAATTACAATAACCCATTTCACCACCAGGCCCTCTGTCCCTCCTCTGGGCACAAAGCCTTTAAAAGCTCCCAGTATTCACTCCAAGCACAGTAAAACTTTCCAACAACACTGCTTTTTAGCCATGGCACAAAAAAGGGTTATAGTAAAAACTATTATTACTAGAAAACACCAAAATCCAACAATAGTGCCCTCGCAGCTGAACACCACAGACGTGGTTTTGCAAGGAGCAACCTCGGCACATCAGTGACACCAGTTCCACAGGACCTGGGCGGGCAGAGCCAGGGCTGCCAGCAGAGTCTCTCCAGGAGCAGGAAGCTGGGCTAGAGCCACAGCTACAGCACAGAGATAAAACCAGGACTGAACACACCCATAAGTTAAGGGCTCTTTACAGCCCCCAGCTTAAGTAGAGCTGCTGCACCAAGAGCAGAGGGGGTGTGGGTGGGTCCCAGGTGAGGCTGGTTGGGCGGGTCAGACCGATCAGTGCCCTTGACTCTGGCCACTACCAATAAAAAGCAATTTGATGAAACCATCTCAGTTACTAAGCTTTTGGGTTGGTCGTTTGGAAGTTATTTATGCTGTTTGTTCATGTCTGGCATAGAATAGCTGGAGAAGCAGCTTTCTCTCATTACTCACTACTGCTTATCTCTGTGTGTGGCTGTCACCTTGCACCACAGCACACACTTGATGTTTCCCAAAATGACTGCCTTTGGCATTCACATGGATACCCCACCAGGCACATAACCTCCCACCTTGCTGTCTTGATTCATCCTTCACCTTGTAACTACACTGCTATTTTTCTGCACCTTTTTTAGGTAACCTGGCTCCTCCTCAGACCTGCTGTGATTGTGTTTCTCTCTCCTATTACTTCTTACCATAAAAGTTTCTTGATTATCTTTAGCTGTGCAGCTCTGAAGTCAAACTCTAGACCTGATTCACTTGCAAACTGTCCCCAGATGATTTTGATGAGTGTTTCCCAAAAGACACCAAAGCCTCCAGATAAATAATTAATAAAGATACCACTTCTGTTGCCAGTTTATTGCTGTTACCTAGGGAGCATGGAATATCAGGGAAGAAGGCTAGAAGCCATGTAAGCTTAGTTTGACCTTTCCAGCATTTTCCCCCCTTATTTTCTCTAAATGGTAATGCACATCAGATTTTATTTTTCTGTCCTTGAAGATAATGCACTGCTGTTCCTTTATGTTTTCTTCTTCAGGCAAAATTATAAACTTCTAACCTTTTTCATTAGTCTTCCTCTCTTCTTTATTCACATATGATGTTTTCTTCTCCTAAATTGCATTTCCTCCTCATTTCTAAATGAAACTTAATGGGATTTCTACCTCTACTTCAAAGCTGTATGAGCTTGTTCAGGGTGGTCTTTTTTGCAGTCCTTATTTACATAATATCTAAATATATTGAAACTTTTTGGAGGCCTTAATCTCCCAGTTTTTCCTCTTTACTGGCTATCAGGAACTTTCTTCTTTTTACAGATTAGATTTGGAAGTCTAAAGGGCAAGACAGGCACAAAGGGGAATTCTTTGAGAGCTTTACTCGGGTGGTTGAGTGACTAATGACTTTATAGATGAGTCTGCAGTGTGCCCATAGCACAGGGAGGTGACCTGGTTACAACACTTGTCTCCTGATCCATTTATACTCCACGATCCAAATGCGGGGACGTGATCCGTGTGGGAAGAACCCCCCACCTGTGCAGCAGCCCCTGTGCAAGGGGAGTGTTGTGCAGGGTACGAGTCACACCCACACAGATCAAATTGCAGGAGTGCAGCCAAACTTTGTGTGGATGGGACCTAAATTTGTCCCTCGTGTTCCAAAATCCCGGACTGCTTACATAAGGTAACGCAAGTGACGCATCCAAAATCGTGAGCCTGTGTTTTTCCTCTAGCTAGGCTTATATTGTTTAGATTTTGTGTTATTTTTTTGTTTCATTTTTTTTGTCATAGCCTGATTCTGTAGGGCATAAAGACCTGTCAACTGTTTCTCTGAAAGGAGCTTTTATTTTTTAAGTTGGGCAATAAACCTCTACCAATAAATAAAACCACATGAAAACAAAGCTCAAAATTTTTCAGTCTAAATTAAGCTTTTAAAAGTATTTTCACTGATATATTAAAAAAAAAAAAAGAATTGTCAGGTAAATCATTCCTGCTTGGTAGTAGTGAGGTTTTAATCTGAAATGATAATAAGGAACTAAAACACTGAGTAAATATAAATACTTGATATGAGGAAATCAGCCTTGGAAACTTGCATCATCACTGCAAAGCTCTTTTAAACTACAAAATGTCAGGAATTAAAACATGAGCATATGAACTGATATGTCCTATGGCAAAAAAACCCCAAACATCTCAAACAAAACTGTGATGGGCAAAGTTAAACTATTCAGTACTGAAGCACAGGAATTGAGTGGAATTTGGGGTTAAGTCTGTCAGTCCTCTGCTGGCATGAAGGCTCAAGTTAGTCTTGGCTTGATGACTAAATCCAAACACAAACCCTCCTACTATAACGCCTACATTTAAATTGTTTTGATAGGAAAGCAGATTGATCCAACGTTTGATTTATGAAATATCCATTCACAGGAAACTCATTAACATTTGAGGAAAACATTGAGATTCTACTGTTATGTTTTCTCCCCTTGCACATGCTGAGGAGGAGGAGATGTGGTCATTTAAGGCAGTGAGTTTTTATTCCCATTGAAACATAGGAAATTTTAAGCATCACCCTTCCCACGGCTGCCAGAACAATGCTGTCAAATTTAGGGAGGATTCAGGGCTCTACAGAAGATCTAAGAACACACAAAAGAGCGTGGGCTGCTAAAGGAATGGTTTCTCAGGGAGGTGGGATGACAGCATTACATTTTGCAGCTCTGGGAAACTATTTGATTCTTAATTGCATTAGACCTTTATTTCTTCTCAAAAGCAACAAAGAGAAAATAGTGAGGATTTCAGAATCTTGCCCTGTATTAGTGCAGCCTGTGCCATCAGAGAAAGTCTCAATGAATTGATTACTGCTTCACTGCTTGGAACTGGACAACTTCTGGATTTCATTCTCCAAGTTTGAACATGTGGCCAGCTCTCATCAAAAGTATGATTCAAAGACATTTACTTGTGACAGATTTGGTGAGTCGGCATCTGAGTGAAGAAAGATGCTCTCTTGCCTTTGAAAGGAGGAATTCTGTCAGTCCCAAACTTTCATCCAGCTTTATAACTTGGTGGCATCTCCCCATCCAACCTAGTAGAAACTTTAGTGGTTCTGATAAAACAGGAAGAATCAACATTATTTTTGTAGACCACACAGGTCTGTATAATCATAGATAGCAAAGAGGCCTTGTTATTTCTCACACCGAAGAACTCAGGGCACTAAAAAAATTCCCAGATAAAAAGTTAACAACAATCAAAAGGGAACAAATTTTCACACTGTGCATGAATCAGAAATTACTGCTGCAGAACATGGTGCCAGAACATAATGAGGGGATGAAAAACTCATTTAGCACTATTAAACAGAACTAAATAGCTTGTGACTCAGGATGTCTGGCTGTGAACTACGAAAATGGAGAGTATGAAGGGGGGAAGTAAGATTGTATGCACGCCCAGTTCTTAATCTTTAGTTCTGAGTTTTAATCTTGTCACAGGAAAATGTTCTTGCACATTTCCGCAGCAGAGACTGAGGCCAGTCTGAAAGAAACTGAAAGGTTTCCTGGAAAAAATAAACGTTTGCAGGGGCTGCAGAGAGAAAAAGGCATGGAGTCTGGGAATCTAGTGAGAAAATAGGGATATTTAGGGGTAACCAGAGTGATCCTGGCCCAGTTTCTTCTAATTTCAGAGCCTTTCAAGTCTCCTATTAATACCACTCCAGATGCTGATGGCTCTATCTTTCCCAGGCGAAGGGGGCTGGAATCTCCAAGGACAACCATTTTTCTAGCAATGCCTTTGGGTAAGCAGATTAATTCAGAGCATGGCTACAGGATTTGAGCAGGCATTTGGCAAAGCCAAGAAAGCATGAATCAGGTTCTGTATCCATCCATTGCAATGCTACTGAAAAAGAAAACACATGGGGGTTGTAGATAGTGGTATCGCAGCCACCGTGAACGCCCACAGGATTGTCCTGCAGAGCCCTCTCTGGAGATTACATGCTGTCTTTTCCCTGCTCTTTTTGTTCAAGACAGATTCTGTTTCTCACTTGAATTTTCTAAACCCCCTGAGCTCTTTCACCCAGTTCTCAATGCTTTGCCCAGCAGAAGGGCAGGTGCTGCCTTTGTACTAAGCAAGGCTCAGTTTTCCACTGGGCTTGGCCTGGAAGTCACAACATAAATGTGGTTAAAGCAACTTTTTCCTCTCCCTGGGATATCCCTGAATTTCCAGGCCTCCTGTGCTCTTTAATTGGAACATTTCTTCTATCCTAAATGGCCTTTCCAAGACAGTTAAGTTTTCAAGGTTGTAAGGAAGTGTTAATTTACAGTCATTGTTTCACCTTGAACTCTTCTTAATGGGATACCTGGGACAGCAATAAACCAATTTACAATTCCTTGAATCCTGGTGTTAGTCATCAGGCCCAGCACTACCATAATGATGCCCCTGACATAATTACACTTATTATCCCCATGTTACCAGGGCATAGACAAACATGCCAGGTTAGACCAAATGAACACCAGAGAGCTCCGAGTTTGTTCCATGTGATCCTCCCAAGGATTTGTTAATCTGCTGAGTGTCTCCCTAACACCCCATGAGAGAAGCTGCTGCTTTAGAAACATGCCAAAAAGTCTCCCGTGCAGATTCCATGCACAAAACCACTCAGCCAGGAGCAAAGGATACATAATTCTTTAGCAGGAGAGAAAGGATTGGTTGCTTAAGGGAATATTTAAGTCAGCTTGCTTCTCCTCCAGAATTCATAAATATTTAAATACTTCTGATCCACATGTCCAAACAGTGAACACACAATCCACCCACAGAACTAAAGCCTGAACAACTACTTGAGCTATGGCCATGATAAACACAATTATTTGTGCTGAATGCTGCTTGAAACAAGACTGAAAACCTGAGCAAAGATTTTTGGTTGTTATTTGATTTACCCTGGGTTGGGAAAGCAGACCTTACATATTTTTTTATTTTATTTTTAAATAGACATTGCCAATTTTTCATCTTGTCAAGGAATAGACATAACAGAGAACTGCAGATGGAGCTGCAACAGATGCATTTGCCACTTAAAAACAATAAATATTATCAGCTACCCAGGCAGTTGTGGTAAGGTGTGTCACAATCCTCTCTGGCAAACTCAGCTGCACAAGATGCCCAAGTCCATAATAAGCAGTTTCTGTATGAGTGACTGCAGGCTGCCAAGGGACTGTGCTTCCCTGATTTCCTAGAACAGCAGAATCCCTAGGAATGACCTTTGGGTGTTTGCTGTCATCACATGCTCCTCTGGGGCTGCTTTCTGTTTGGCAAGAGAGTGAGACAGTAAAATCCATCTCAATGGCTCAAGAGGAACAGAAAAATAACCCTAATGTCTCTTTCCCCAAAGTTGGCTGCATTTCTGTCATGTCCAAGGAATTAATATTTATTTCAAATAGCTGTGAGTAATTTGGAAAGAACCTCTTACAAAGAGGCTCAAGTCTCTTTTCTCCCCGCAGGAACAATAGTTTCCAGGGATATCTTTGGGAGTTTCAGACATGTAGAGGAAACAGCCTGTCACAGGCAGAATCTCTGCTGTGGATTTGGGACAATTATGCTTTCCAAATCTTAGGCAATAAGGCACCAAAAGAGAATAAATCCAGAGGGAGGAGAAGAAAAACCACTTTTGCTATAAATTAATTTATTTCACCAAGGAGAATTGAGGTCCTGTTCTTGTAAAAACAAAAGACTGTCCATTGTAAGCACAGTAACCCACCAAGTTCAGCTGGAAAAGAGCAGAGGCCACACAATATCTTGTGAATGGCTGTAATTGAGGATGGATTTAACTTTCATAAACAGAACCACTGGGAATGCAAAGTGAAGGATAACAATGCTGCACCTATTTGGTCAGCATTGTCTATGTAATAGCATTTCAAAGATCATACAGGTGCCCATAACACCACCTGAACCTCCTCACAAGGGCCTCTTATTTCTGCTGAACAGAAGTGTTCCACTTGCATTAGAACACGCAGATCCAAACAGGCATTGCAGAAAAAGAACAATATTCAGCGTATGTGCTGTAGGTGACACTGAACCCGCCTCCCCATCCAACTTGAAACATGTCATGGAGTATTTAGACAGCCTTATTTTAGGGACCTAAAATTAGTTCCTCTGAATCACACTTTAGAAGAACCTATTTTTGTCCCATACTACACAGGAAACTTGAAGTTCCTCATTCAGATGCTGTAATTACTCTTGCCCTCATCCCCCAAATAGACAAACTCTCTGTAAAACAGAAGTTTATGTGACAGGGATGTTTCTGAGTTGCCTCTCTGTCACCTTTCAGTGCGTGCTTTGGATGACTGACCAGTTTAGAAACATGGGGCTGAGGGAGAGTCTGAGGATCCTCATCAAAAAGCACCGACTCCTCGTTACTCCAGGAGTGGGGCTTTGTGAGATATGGAGCTCACAGACTAGGACAGGTACAGGTAACGTGAAGCTCCTGTTGGATTGGCTATTCTTTTCCAAACTGTAAAATCACAGAATGGTTTAGATAGGAAAGGAGCTTAAAGCTCATCCTGCTCCCTGCCATGGGTAGAGACATCTTCCAGCATCCCAGGCTGCTCCAAGCCCTGTCCAGCCTGGCCTTGGACACTTCCAGGAATGGAGCAGCCACAGCTTCCCTATGTCAGGGCCTCCTCATCCTCACAGAGAATTTCTTGTGTATATCTAATCTAAACCTCTTTCAGTTTGAAGCCATCCCCTTTGTCCTGTCACTCCATGTCCTTGTGAAATGTCCCTCTCCATTTTTCTTGTAGGCTCCCTTCACGTACTGGAAGGGCCTCAGGTACTAGAAAATAGAAATCTGTCACTCAGAAATTATCCAACTTTTAACTTGGGTGGAAAAGGACAGATGGGTCACTAAGGAAAACACCTGTGCTAAGCAGTCACTGGAGAGCCGAGGCAGCAGGAAGCGAGGTTGAGTGACAACTCAAGATTCCCGAATCCCTGTGCCAGTGCTGGTGCTGGCTGCCCTCGGGCATCGCCCCACGAGGGAACACGCCAACAACCCCCAGCCTGACCCACGCCACTGTCAGCACTCAAAGTTTCTCATGAATGAGAAGACTGTGTTTTTCTCACAACTACAGCACTCGGCTTCATCAGTTCTCAGGAGGCAATGCCAAAATCCACAGGTGGCTGCCATATTTGGGCTGCTGGCAATTCGTATTCCTCCTACTTAATAAGAGAGGAAGAAGCTGTTGATGTGAAGTGGCACAGACGGGTCCTGTGTTATGAAAGCCTCGTCCTTCATCATCTGACTCGGGAACCAAATGTGCTCTCACACACTGCTGCAGCCAAAACATATTGCAAACTTGAACAACACATTTATTTTTGACTCACTTGGCAAAGTGTAGCTTTTTTCTTTCCTCTTTTTAAAGAGCAGAACGGTGGCATAGCAGGGAGGGGAAAGGATTAGGGTTTTTTAAAAATTACTAAATTTAATTAGTAAATGAATCAACATGCAGAAAATACGTTCAAAAGGCAAGTACTACAGGTATGCTTACTACTGTAATTATGAATGGAGCGGGAAATCTCCTCTCCCCTTGTTTCAGACTCTGAAAACAGGAATGGGGGAGAGCAGACGAGTTAGTAGGATGGCTGTCAGAGGTGCTGATGGCGTAACTTGGCATGTTTTCCCCCAAAAGGTGAGAGGTGTCTGAGGCCACAGCTGAGAAGGCAGCTTGTTGACTCAGACAGAACAGAGGTCAGAGGTGTTCATTCACATGCCAAATACTCCAAAATGCCTGAAAAATCAAGTCTTAGTTTTAACTTGGGTTAGAAAGGACATGAGTAATCATTTATAACATAGCTACAAAGCAAGAGAATGCAGCTGTGAAGCTCCTGATGTATCTGCCAACTTCAGTTTCAAAAAATTGGGGTAGAATTTTGATTTTTTTCCCCTCCAAGTCCAAACAAACTCATCACGCTTCAAATTTGACAAACACTTTCCCACACTGGAAATGTCTGAACAAATCACCATTGTGATTATCAAGAATTGCCTCTAAGTGACAGAAAATAAGTCATTTTAGACTTTTCAGTTCCAATGCACATAAATTTTCACTTACCCTTTTTACTAACCACAGGTATTGTTTTTTTTATTACAGCTTTTGGGCCAATCTATCCTTGACTGAATTGCTGATAAAACTATTCATTTCGTATTGTTTGTTTCTGTTTTCACCAGAAAAGTGCTAACCCAAGATGTACTTTATCCCCACAGAAAGCTGGCCATGATCAAGTTTCATTTTTAATTGAAGCCAGAAAGGGCAGAGATTCATCTATGAATTGTTTTGCCTCATGCAGATATGAGGCATCAGAACCGTAAAGTCCCCGTGAAAGATGGTAACAGTTTTAGTCGAGTCCAAGCTATTTTGTAATCATGTAAAAGTTCATAGATGTGAATCACGAGATAATATGATAAAAAATCTTCTAGGAATGGAAGGGTATTTCAGAAGGATGGGACACTAAACAGCATCCTGGTGCTTCCTTATTAAAAACACAGGTCTAGGAGGGTGAAGAAAATAGATGATGAAAGTGGAAGATGCTATGAAAGCTCTGTTTATCATACTTAGGTTTTCTGTGGCGTTTCTCCTCTCCCTATCGTATTCCACAATTCAGTTAGCCATTTTTTTATTTTTTTAAAAAAATTTTAAGCAGAGCTAGTTTGAGCATAAAGATCAGAAAACAGGATTTGCCCTTGTCAGTAGCTCTAAATCTAATCAGTTTGCAGCTGTTGTACGGCCACGATGTAACTCTTGAGGGGAAATTCAATTATATTAGGACAGCTGGAGATAACAGCTATCGGTGCTGTTATCACGTATCCCTCAGCAGTTTATCCCACACCCACGGCCCGCGGGCGAGCTCTGCGCTCCTGACTAGCCTTATTATTTCAAATAAGCCTCTTAGGCAGCCGCGCAATCTGCTATCCAACTCCGCGGCTAATTACAGCACCACCGACCCAATGCGGCTGGCCAGGAGCTCGGAGATGAGCACGGACCGCAGCCTGTGGCCCGAGCCCTCCGTGTCAGCCCCACCACGGCACTGAGCGTCCGCCGCGCCCCCGCAGCTCTCCAGGGCTGGGGACTGCCCCGTTAGCCCCGGCACCCGCCCCATCCCCACCTCACACCGAGTGTTTCCGAGCGAGAACCAATGCTCGATTCCCTCCCGATGAGAGCAGCCGGCGGGTGAATGTTTTCACTCCCAATTACGCGTCCGGGTGGCGGCAGCTTTAGGAGAAGGGCTTTTTAACAAAGCGCAAAGCTCGCGGAGCCCCGAGCTCGGGCGGGCACCGCCGCCTCTCCGCCCCCTCCCCGCGGCGGTGCCCGAG